AAATAATGGAAAAATTCTAAATAAATTTTTAAAGTTTCCTTTTGCAAGAGGTATAAGTTCGGGAATCTTTCGACACCTTTGGCAGAGAATTTTTATTACTCGTATAAGGAAAATACCTATAATTTAATCTTCTCGGCGCAAAGCACCGATAATTATGCTAATTGCTTGTTGTGTATTTTATTTCGGCACTGTGGATTTCATGTGTGAGATATTTCATCTGACTTCTGCGAGAGAATTATCCTTGTTCTTCGCGTCTTCGTGAATGTTATTTTATTTTTGCTGGTACGTGTGACAAGGCTGTTGAATGCAATTTCATTAAAATTGCTAGTTACAGGAACATAGTTACGTAACAGACACATCTACGAAGAATGTTCCGTTCTATAACTACAATTTCCTACACACAAGATAGAAAAAAATTTTTACCAGATAAAATTAAACGAGTTTGAATAATACATGTATGTATCACTGAAGATGTTATTTGGAAATTTATTTATCTTTTAAATGGAACAGATTGATTTTCTTATTTTCTATACAAAAGTGGCGAAGAACGTAGATTCAAAATTGATTAACTTAAATTTCTAACTTTGAAAAATATTTCAACTTCAATTTTTTTTTTTTTTATTTTGTAGAACTTATCATACGAAAAATGAGGAAAGTAAGGGCACGGGAACACCGTGTTACCGAAGTATTCTGTAAAAAATTTATTGCTCCATGCAAGACTGTTTCATTGCAGTTAAATTTTTTGTTCAGTTTTGTACGAGCTTGATCATAGCAACTGGTTTGCTTGAAGGACACTCACTGGTGTGAGAAATGATCAAATGCGTTGGATTTTTGCTTGACTAGTTTATTTACTGAACTGTATCAGAAGATTGATTCTACCTTAGAGATCAAACTAGTTCTGACTAATTCTGAAGTCTAACTGATGATGATTTGATTCCAACGTTCCCAGAATCTTTCACTATCACCTTGCTAGAGACTAACTGTGATGGAGGGCTTGTGAGTAAATCCATCGCCCTTTTGGCCAAGCACAAATTAGTATGTATCTACTGTGGGGCTTAAGAATTTTCAAAACACCTTCACATGCAAGGTGGACACATATACCACATTATTATATGATATTTTTTTATGAAATTATAATACAGCACAAGCTTCAGTCGACAGTTCACTTATACTCGTCACTATACACCACATCAAGTTCAATCAAGTTACGTGAAACCGAGTTACCATGTACTTCGTTGCACTTTTACATAAATCAATCTATGATAATACGAGCTCAGAGCTATATGAATGCACGTTCACTTGTTTCACTTGTTAACGTTGACACGAAATAATAGTTCCATAGAGATGATTGCTCGCGCGAGAGCCGCAAGAAATGTGGCCGGCCTTTCTAATGCAT